CCCCTTTCCATCATGTCCTTTGATATCTGCCCGAAGCTATCGTAATTCCTATGGCTGGAGTGCAGCTGGGACTGGACAGCTTCCTCCCCTCAAACACTGATGAGGTCCCGCACCTCACCATTGCTCCATACTGGGGATCGCCTGGCGCGTGGAGGCACGGCCACCTGGAAAGATTCGCTGAGAGCACTCCATGCCTTGCTGAGCAAATAGGAAGGGGATTTTCAAAATTCCCAGAGAATTTAATGGGCGGGTCTGATGGATGGTCACCTGAGGGCAGGGCAGTAGAGTTCAAAGTGATGACCAGAGTGGCTAGAACAGGCATTGTGGGACACTTCTGGAGGCCGATCAGAGTGCATTAATAGACCAGGGCGTCCACACTGGCGCCGTGGCGCTCCAGCTGTGGCGCAGCAAGCGTTATGCTTCTCGTGGAGGTGGATTACCAGGAGCGCTCCAGCCGTGGAGTCCAGGCACTCTACGTGCCTTGCCAGTGTGAATGTGTCATGAGTTAGGGCACCCGGGGCTGCTTTAATGCGCTCTAACTCGCAAGTGTAGCCAAGCCCTTAGTTTCCTTAAGTGAGGGACTTTGTCCAAGGCTTTCTGAAAATCCATGTACACTATATCTACTGGATCACCCTTAGCCACATGCTTCTTGACTCCCTCAAAGAATTTTATTAGATTGGTGAGGCATGACTTTCCATTACAAAAGCCACGTTGACTCTTCCCCAACAAATCATGTTTATCTTTGTGTCTGATAAATCTTTTCTTTACTATAGTTTCTACCAATTTGCCCAGTACTGAAGTTAGGCTCACTAGCCTGTAATTGCCAGGATCTCCTTTCGAGCCCTTTCTGCTTCTAATGGCCTCCATTGCTCTGCTGTTTAGCCATGGTTGTGTGAAGCGTAGCTGTAGCCCTGTCAGTCCCAGGATATTAGAGGGACAAGGTGGGTGAGGTAATATCTGTTATTGGCAGGAGCACCGCCAGCTTTTCTGCCGCCCTAGGCAGCGGAAGGTCCCGCCCCGAAATGCCACCCCCCACAGAGGCGGCGGAAGGTCCCACCGCTGAAATACCGCCGCGGTCGCCTCCCCCCAAATTGTGATGCCCTAGGCGACCACCTAGGTCACCTAATGGGTTGCGCCGGCCCTGGTTATTGGACCAACTTCAGTTGGTGAGAGAGACAAGTTTTTGAGCTACACATGGCTCTTCATATCTGGGAAAGGAACTCCTAGCAACACAGCAAAATGCAAGGTGGAACAGATCGTTTACCGTAAGTAGTTAGCACATATTGTAAAGGACTATTCAAGGTAGAGTGGCCTGTTAACACCTCTGCAGTCATAGGATAAAAAGAGGGGGTTAGTGGATTACAGATTGCTGTAATAAGCCATAAATCACGAGGCACATTGCGCATACGCTAAGAAGACACCATAAATCCACTACCTCTGTTCAGTCCATGATTTTTGGTCTCTAGCAGAGTAATGATGGTGGCATTCTTTTGGTCCTCCTGTCTTTTTTGATTTGGGGTATACATTTTGTCTGAGCCTCTACTAAGGTGTTTTGAAGTAGTCTCCATGCTACTTGCACACATTTTACCCTTGTGACTGCTCTTTTTAATTTCTGTCTAGTGTCCTCATTCTTGTGTAGTTACCCCTTTTGGTATTGACTCTCCCGCCCTCAAGGATGCTAAATTTAATTACTTCATGGTCATATTTCTGAGCGGTTCAGCTATACTTACCTCTTGGATCAAATCCTGTGTTGCACTTAGAACTAAATCAAGAGTTGCCTCTCCCCTTGTAGGTTCCAGAACTAGCTGCTCCAAGGGTCATTTATATCTGTGCCTCACATCCTGAGGTGACATTTATCCAGTCGATATGAGGATAGTTGAAATTACCCATTATTGCTGGATTTTGTAGCCTCTCTAACCTCTGTTAGCATTTAACAATCACTCTCACCATCCTGGTCAGGCGGTCAGTAATATACTCCTACTGCTATACTCTGATTATTGAAGCATGGAATTTCTATCCATAGAGATTCTATGGTATAGTTTTTGATACATTTAAGATTTTCATCTTATTGACTCTATGCTTTTTTTAGCATATAGTGCCACTCCCCACCAGCATGACCTACTCTGTCATTCCTATATATTTTGTACCATGGTATTACTGTGTCCTATTGAGTATCCTCATTCCACCAAATTTCTGTGATGCTTATTATATTAATATCCTCATTTAATGCCAACCAGTCTAGTTCACCCATCTTACCATTTAGACTTCTAGCATTTGTATATAAGAACTTGTACATTTTGTCAATATTTAATTGCATGCCTTCATGTTTTGTTTAAATGGGACTCTTTAGTGTTTGACTGTCCCTTGCTAGCTCCTATCTGTACTTTACCAATTTCTTTCCTATCCTCTATACTAGGATATAAAGTTCCCTCGTTAATAAATTCAACCCTAAGGGATGTCTCCATCTGAACCGTGTGTTTTTCCGTACCTGTCAGCTTTCCCTCAGCCCTTAGTTTAAAAAATTCAATTAAGGTTGGACCTGTTGTTTCCTCATTCTGCTTGCAAGCATTGCAACCCCCCAAAAGGAAGGGGGTATCTCATGTTGCTTTGTAGTGACCCCTTCTGGCAGATGCCTGGAGCAGCACTGATGAGCTCTAGAAAGACAAGCAACTGGGTCCTCTTTCATCAGAATGAGTGTCAACACAATGGAAGGCCTTTGAATGTGGTGGAGTAAAATGGGATTCATGGGGTTTTAAGATAAGTGTGGAGGACTCCGCAGGCAGGAAATGTGCAAGTCTGACAGTATGGTGTAGTGGTCTGAGCATAATATGCTTAGGCAAGGCCCTTGGGTTTTGTTTGCACATCTGCCAGTAAGGCAACTCCCTTATTTTCTCTGTAATATAGTTCCTCATCTGTAAAATGGGGATACTAAACTGACCTACAGTATTTCACAGAGGCATAGTGAAGTTTAATTCATTAATGTTTCTGAGGCGATTTCAGATCTTTGGATGATGATGATTTGTACTTTTCCCTGAAGTGTCCGAGGCAATTTATAGGACAAAAGAAAGACCACTCTGAAAAATATTATTATAATTCCAATAAAAGGATGATCTTTTAACAAAGGAAATCTAGTTATTATTAATGGCTACAAAAATAACAAAAAATAAAGTGGCAAACACTTTTCACAAAATTATCACTCCATAGCTGACTTCTCAGGCCAGGTCTACACTAGACCTATATTGGTATAACTATCACACTCAGGGGTGTGAAAAATCCATACCTCTAAGCAACATAGTTATACCAACCCAGCCCTACCGCGTAGACAGCACTATATTGATGGGAGAGCTGCTCCCATCAACATAGCTACCTCCTCTCAGGGAGATGGATTAACTATGCTGACAGAAGCTCTCACATCAGCGTAGGAGCATCTTCACTTAAGTGCTACAGAGACACAGCTGCATCAGTGCAGCTGTGCTGATGCAGCATTTCAAGTGTAGACCTGACCTCAGGCCTCATCTTCAAAGGAAACCTGCACAATACCTTCAAAAGATGATCGTGGGAGCTTAAATTCATATTTTTTCTAGCCACTATAAATCCTTAATAAAGACTCTGGATTTATAGTTTATTACAACAACCTGTAACCCATTAATTCCCCCTTTTTTGTTCTGATTTTATAGGTGTTAACAGGAGACTTCACCTTGAATGGTCTCTTATGTGTTAACTATTTATGCTTAATAATCTGTTCCACCTTCTATTTTGCTGTGACAGGCTAAGTACCTTTATTCCAGACCTGAAGAGCTCTGTGTCACTCAAAAGCTTTTCTCTCACCAACAGAAGTTGGTCCAATAAAAGATCACCCACTTCTCTCTCTCAAAAAAAGCAACATAACCCTGTGATTCAGGTATCTTTTCCTGGTAGCTATAGGGGCTAGGAACTGGTGCAATTGTGGTAGCAAGAGTTCAAGACTCAGAGTAGTTGGGGGTCAGGGCTTGAAGGGCAGGAGATTTTGGGAGAAGCAGTTTGAGGACCTGGGGCGGAGGTCCAGCAGTCAGAGGGGAGAGCAGGACTGGCTCATTCTGGAGCGGAGGTCCGTGCAGTAGGTTCACCGCTCAGGCGCTATCTTCACCGCACGTTCAGCGGTGCGTTTTTACAGCCATACAGGGAACTCACTGCAAACCCACGGGCGGACAAGGCCTCGCAGGCTTTGCTTAGACGGACTGAGCCTCGGCAAACCCCTCTGGGGCATAGCGTTAGGGTGACCAGACAGCAAGCGTGGAAAATCAGGACAGGGGGTGGGGGGTAATAGGAGCCTATATAAGAAAAAGACCCCAAAATTGGGACTGTCCCTATAAAATCGGGACATCTGGTAACCCTACATAGCGTCGACAGCTACAGTGAGGTGCACACTACCCGCGCCCGGTGTCCGCAGGCACTCATAGGGGGAGCTCTCCGGCTGTACCGAGGGCTGGCAACGCCGACCCCGCCTTAGCAAGTCTGTGGGCGGCGAATGCCCTCGGCCCGCCAGACTCGCAGGGAGCCCCCTTCGTGGTTGTGCTTTTACAGGGGTTTTGCCCCATTCCTGCCGCTGTCACCGCCTGCCTGGCTGGGGCCAGCTGAACCCACACCACACGCCTCTGCCTCTCCCAGCCAGAGCAGCATCCCCAGGGCCGGCGAGGCGGCTTCCCCTCCCCCCCTGCCGGCGGGAAGCAGCGCAGGCACGGAACATGGCGGGCGCTCAAGTCCCAACTCCCCCCCCTTGCTCCCGATCTCTGCGCATGCGCTGTAGGCTGCACAGAGGCCGTATCCCTCCGCCAAGCCCCCTTTTGTCGGGGATATTTGTGTAATAAGATAATCCCTGCACCCCAATGGTAAGTGCCATGTGTCCCTCAAAGCGCTGCCGCCTCGCCGGCCCGGGGTCCCCCTGTTTCAGCGCAGAGGGGGCGCACTGTGCTGACCTGAGCCGCCTCTCCCCTCCCGCCCGCTGTGTCCCTCCGCCAGGCGCAGCAGCGGGGACTTTTGTGTGGGGCTTTTGGGCGCCGTTGAGAGGCGGCCTTTGGCGCCCGTGGTTGTTGTTGTGGACGGCGGCGACGGCCGGGCAGGCAGCACGGTAAGGCCCCATCGCCGTGCCCCGTCTCTCCCCCACCCCCCCGGGCCGGCCAAGCTTTTCCAGGTCAGTCTGTGCCTTTGTAGGGCCCTGTTACCGGATGTGGAAGTTGATCTCTTCGCTGGTAAAAAATAATTCCACTTCCCCCGGAACCCGGCGCCGCGGCTCCCTCCGCAGCGCCCAGCCCAGCCAGGATTTCCTGTTGGGGAGAGCGGGCGGGCCGGCCGGCCGGCCTTCCGGGGACCCCGCCGCACGGGGGGCGCCCGGAGGGCTGGGCGCGGAGAGGGCTCCGCGAGGTGGCTGGGCGGGGGTGGGTGTACGTCTGAGGGGCGTGGGGGTGGGGAGGCTGCGATGTGTGAAGGGATGGGGACTCTCTGAGCTGGGGTCTGTGTGGCGGGGTGTCTGTTGGATGTGTGTTGTGGGGGTGGGGAGGCTGCAGTGTGTGAAGGGATGAGGGGTTGCTGAGCACCGTGGGGGAGGTAAAAGGTCTGTGGTGAGGTGCG